GGGCCCAAAACGTCAGCCTTCCTGCTCCTATGATGCTGCTTGGCCTGCTGTGTTCATCCAGCTCTACACCTTGTTATCTCTATTTAAATGATGTATGGTTTAATACATTATCCGTAATGTTTTATGGGTCATTTATGGGTCACAGAAAGCAGTCAAGACCAAACCATTGTATGATTTCAAGAAGGAATATGATATAGCACTCAGAGTTCAGGAGATCCAAGGATATGATGGAAAATGGGAACAGGATACTGAGTTAGATGATTAGGCATGGCTATAATGAATGGCCAAGCAGGTTTAAAACATTTGAAATGGATTCTTCCTGAATTAGTTTTCTATGCTTTTATTATATCATCTGTAATGTTGGGAATCTCTAGTAGGCTTTGTAGCACCTCATCAAATTCACTTCAATCATCAATTTATTGCATTATTTGTTTCTGAGACTGAGAAAAGCACAAATTGGCTGCTATGTTGGATGCATAAATAGCAGTGGCAATACTACAAGTTGGAATTTATTAGTTGTAAAATACTTCAAGCTATTTAAGTTCTAAACAAGGTACTGTATGAATGGAAAATTGTTTCCTTCAGACAAAATTAATTACTATGTATAGATCCTTTACTGGAGGCAAGATTTTTACCCTGAGGGGACAGTAGGCAGGCACATAATTTTATACCGTTGGTGGGCACACTGCTTCTGCCGTGTCTGTCCTGCCTCCTGAGACATTTTCCTGGGGGCCAGACCAGTAATAGCACAGCTATCTGCCTATATGTGGTGAGTAGCTGCTTCATTAAAAGGTCACTAAGGTCCAAAGTTGACAGGCAGCTGGACTTTTCTAGATGTCTGCAGGACCACTAAGAGCGTGGCAGCTGCCCTGTGCACATTCTAGTTCCTGACCAGTGGGCCAATACCCGTAAATATTTTAAGGGTTCCCATGCACGTCTGGTGACAGCTGTGACCATGGATTCCTTCTGTAATGCTGGCATGACAGCTGTGCCCATTTTGTGCTTCATCTTTGTTAAAATTGCTTAGAGGCAATCCAAGGTGAAGGTGTCCTTCTTATTTCAACCTTAGGCTGCAGTTTCTTCAATGCTGGAAGTTCTGCCATTGGCCTTCCTGTTTCTAGAGGTCAGTTACCTTCCTGGCTTGGAGGGTGAACCTGCCTTTAAGTCACTAAGTGGGCAATGCACGTAAAATCCTTGCTCTAGATTTTACTGCTCTCAACACAATACTGGAATAATAATGACAACAGAAATCTGGAAAAGTATCTCAAATGTAGGAGACAGGCTAAGGCTGGAATAAGGAAGGCTAAGGGGAAGCATGAGGAAAGCATAGGTAAGGGCGTGCCTGCGTTTGATCCTGACATTAAGGTCCCAATCCAAAATGTAGAATCCTCCTCCAGGTCTCAGGGAAAAGGTACATTTATGGCCCTGTCATTGGTCTTTCTGAGTTGGTGGCAGACAGTTGTTCAATTGCCACAAGTCAAGTGGTTCATTTCACCATTGTGTTTGGCAGGGACTTCCAGGATTGTATCCCCAGTATGATAAAAGAATAATGGTTGCTGTGAAATTAATGTATGAATTGGTTGGATATTTGTAGGCCAAGGTGTATCCATGCAATGCTATGCTCCTTCTAGATGGTAGAGTTCAATAGTCTGGGAAATATGATTGAAGTAATTTTGATGAGTTGCTACACTACTAACTGCAGAATGTACACAGTGTGCTGGCTGTAGAAGGGCTTGATAATTAATTTATTGGCAAGGGTTCTGATCAAGTGAACAGCTTTACCCAACATGGAGTTGATTTTCTGGTGTGCTGTTTTGATTATAACTATCCAGACAAAGTGATGAATATCCTATCATTCTGCAATTAAAACTATTATAAATATTTTGTTGGCAGATGGGATCTGATTATTATTTTTTAAATATTATATGGACCCATATAAATATATCTTGAACTTTTAAACAAACAATATTTTGCTAAAGAGAAGGCATTTGGTACAACAGCAATAATATTGCACCTGGAAGGAGCAGGGAGCTTAGTTGGAGTCAAACAGTCTGGAAAACGTTCAGAGAGACCATATGGTTAGGTTTGTGGATGGAAGAGATGATTGCATCTTTGAATGAAATCAGAGACAGAGGGAATGTAACCTGCTAAAGAGCAATAGACCAATGATCTCTAGGAGCAAGTTCCTACAGACGCTGGAATCTGTACTGAAAACAAAAAGTGCTAGAAGTCACAGTGGGTCTGACAGCATCCGTGGAAAAAGAGCAAGCTAACGTTTCGAGTCTAGATGACTCTTTATTAGAGCTGACGTGAAGTGTAGAGTGGTCAGTACTTATGCAATAGTAGGGGGTGGAGTGCTGGGGGAGAAAGGGTGCTGATAGCTCAGATTATGTGATCGGAATGTGAGAATAGGAGAACAATGGTGTGTCTAACGTCCATACTGGAAAGAGCAGAAACTCCCACTGGAGTTGGGGGAGGGGAAAGAAGACACGGTTACAGAGAATGTAACAAGTAAAACTAAATGAAAGGGATGGAATGAATGTGAGATCACACCTAAAGATACTGAACTCAACATTAAGTCCAGAAAGTTGTAAATTGCCTAGTCTGAAGATGAAGTGTTGTTCTTCCTGTTTGTACTGTGATTTGTTGAGGCATTGCAGCATGCCAAGGATAAACAAGTGAACACATGAGCAGGATGCTGTGTTAAAATGACCAGCTACAGGAAGGTCAGGGTCACACTTGCACACAAACCAGAGGTATTCTGCAAAGTGTTCACCCAGTCTGCATTTGGTTTCCCCAATGTAGAGTAGGCCACATTGGGTGCAGTGAATGCAATAGACCAGATTGGAGAAGGTACAGGTGAAATGCTGCTTCACCTGGGAAGACTGTTTAGGCCCTTGGATCGTTAGCAGGGAGGAGGAGAAAGGGCAGATGTTGTACTTTCTGCGGTTATATGGGAAGGTGCCATGGGGAAGAGGGGATGGTGTTAATGGTCAGTGAGGAATGGATTAGGGTGTCCCAGAGGGAATGATCCCTGTGAAATGCAGGCAGGGGAGTGAGAAGAAGATGTGTTTGTTGGTGGAGTTCTGCTGGATCGTCTGAAATGGTGGGGAATGATCCTTTGAATGCAGAGGCTGGTGGGGTGAAAAATGAGGACAAGGGAGACTCGATCGCACTGTTGTGAGTGATGGGAAAGGGCAAAGGTAAATAGGTCAGGTGCAGTTGAGGCCAATAGTCTCTTTCTCCCTTTCTTCATAACTCCTCTTAGCAAAGTGTGTAGCTGAAAACCCACTGAAAGTCATCTTCACCACTCAGGAAGAGTTCCTGCAGAGGGTTTTCTTGGAACCTGCTCCACCATTTGAACTAAAGGGAATTCAGCCATCTATAGCTAAGCAAAAAGTTAATCTTAGTAATAGTGACCATAACAACTAACATTGATTGGTGTAAAAATCTATCTGGTTCACTAATGTCCTTTAGAGAAGGAAATTTTCCATCCTTAAATGATCTAGTTTACATGTGACTCCAGAACAACAACAATGTAGTTCATTCTTAACTACACAAGTCTGTCATTCTGTTCAAGCACAATTATGGATGGGCAGCAATTGTTGGTCTTGGCAGTAATGTCCATTACTCATGAAAAAATAAAGGCTTAACTGTTTCAGGAAGTCACCTCAGTCTTAGCAGCTTGTGTGTGAGCAGAATAACTTTGGAATCATTTGGAGGAAACAGTAGATGAACAATGGAGATAACACAATGTGGAGCTGGAGGAACACGGCAGGCCAGGCAGCACCAGAGGAGCAGGAAAGTTGACGTTTTGGGTCAGGACCCTTCAACAACGAGAGATGAATAGAGTGCAAGCGAGGTACATACCAGTGAGAAATAAATAGGAGGTATCCAAAACTAGTGCACCCTGGATAACTAAGGCTATTCGTGAGAAAACAAGGAAGAAGAAGGAGACGTATGATGCATACTAGAATGATAATAACAATAGAAATCAGGAACAAAATCTCAAATCCAGGAGAGAGGCTAAAGCTGGAATAAAGAAGGCCATGAGGAAGCATAAGGAAAGGATGGCAGGCCATGCTAAAACACATAGAAAAATGTTCTTCAAACATATTAATTTTAAAAGATTTACAAAAGGTAGAGTGGGGCCCAAAAGAAACAAACAGGATAAACTGTTGACTGAAGGAAAGGGTATGGCAGACATACTAAATGAACACTTTGACTTCTGTCTTTACCAAATTATAAAATGGTGACAATAGGCTAGTTGAAAATGTGGGTGTTGAACAATTGAGTAGAATTGTTGAAGAAGTGGTGCTAAAAGGTTGGCTGCATTCCAGGGAGAGAAGTTGCCGGGCCAAGATGGTTGTTCATTACAGGAGTAGAGGGAATTCAGGGTTCAAATGCACAATTATCTCAAGGTGGTCAGGCAAGCTAAAACAGTTGTTAAGGAGACTTATGTGATCCTTGAGTTTATAAATAGAGCTATAGAGTGTAAAAGCAAGAAAGTCATGCTACACCCCTACAAATCATTGGTCAGACCATACATGGAGTATTGTGTTCATTTCTGGGTACCTGATTTAAGGAAGAATGTTAAAGCTCTGGAGAGAGTGCAAAGGAGATTTATAAAATGATGCCAGGAATGAAACATTTTGGACACAAAGAAAGATTATGGAAATTGGGTCTTTCCCCTTGGAGCAGAGAAAATTAAGAGGTGCTTTGAACAATTTTGACAGGGTAAAGAAGTAAATTCTGTTTCCACTATTTCTCTAACTAGGGGTCATAATTTCAAGATTGCCAGCAAGAGATCTAGGAATGAGAGGAGGAGAAACTTCTTTATTCGGAGTTTTTGGGATGTGGAATGCACTACCTGGGAAAGTGGTGGAGGCAGATCCCGTAGCAAGTTGCAAAAGACAGCTGTATATATATTTGAAAATGATAAATTTAGCAGGCTATTGAGATAGGGCTGGAGAATTGATCTAGCTGCTTAGCTCTTTCAGGAGCTGGTACAGACATGATTAGCCAAATGGCCTCCTTCTGTACTGTAAAATGCTATGATTCAAAGACTTGTCCTATTTTCATGAGTTTAACTGTTGCATGGCAAAAGTACTGTAAACTTATCAGACCTGAGAGCTTGTGTTTGTGTGTTTATTTTTAAAATATATTTCTGTTTGCATAATCCAAACTGCCAATAATCTTTGCATCTTTCTTTGAGTAAGTTGGTTTTTGGTAATAAGCCAGTTATTTGTTATTGACTAAAGGAACCTGGTTGACATATTCTTAATGTCAAACCTGACAGAGTCTGAGACTTATATAATTGGGCATATCACCTATTCGGTTATATTAAAATTTTATGTGATTGTTGGAGGAGTGGGACCAGAAAAGAAAGGAATGACACCCTCAACCTCAATTGTAACAACATGTTGCAGTCCTAAGCTGTGACAGACTTCATAGTGTCAGGAGATTAGCCATTTACTACAGCACATATATCATAAATATCGTAACGCCAGAATTATTAACAGTTTTGATCTGGAAGGTAACTGCATGTCTTTTATTTTCCTGAAGGCTTTGGCATGGAAGCAACATTTCTTCTTGTGGTAGGCTATTCACATACCAAAGGGGTTGCAATTTCATTCCTTGTCATGGCTGTTGGTTTCAGCGGTTTTGCTATATCAGGTGAGACAATATCGTAAAAAACTCAACAAAGTATGCTGTACTTTTTGCTAATTATCTGTCAACTGAACTCTATCTACCTTTAACAATGCTAACTGCATTTCAAGTTTCTAAATTCTGCAGTTTTTTGATTTTGTTAACTATGCTTTACTGTTTAGCGTACAATTTCCCAATATATTGTAGCATAAACCAGGAACTGAATCTTCCATATATCTGAAATTGCCAAGTGTCCCTTCTCAAAATATCTCATGATGTGGTATTTGTATGAGGTGAATATGTCTGAGTCAATGATGATGTGGCCAAGAGCCTTTCCATATCAGAGAGCCACTCCACACCGTGAAAATAAAAGAAGTCTTTAGAAATCCTATAAATCCTGCCCCTGAATGTGACATTTCCCATTTTCATGGCGTCAGTAATAGATTTGGTTCAGGATGAATTCATGTGTGAATTAGGGAGGCATTTAAATCATCCACTTTTGGTACCAGTGTCTAAAAAACGTGTGCGGATTAGTCAAGGTAAGAGCAGATCTGAACCTTGTGGATTCATTTAGATAGACAAGATATGCCTTCAGACCGGTAGGGTACCCATTTAGATCTGGTTCTGACTCATGTTTGAGGGAGGTAGGCTGCCCTTAGACGGTGTAAAGAAACCCTTCGGGAGAGGTCAAGCACCCTTTGTTATTGTTAATACATATTTGTTTGTAACAAGTGCAGAAACTCATTAAGATCATTAATCGATCAAAGAACTGTCAAACTGTAAAAGGGGAGGCATTCAATCACTATTAATCTCTTAACAAAAACTCTGGAGAGCTGCAAAAGATAGACTTCTAATTAACTCTCTGTTGACATTCACCTGAGGATTTCTATTAACAGGTTAGTGTAGCACGACTGACTTTATAAAGATGCATTATCATAATGTATGTATTCCATATAGAAGACAGCTCTTTTGATTGACAGCTGTTTATAATTCAGTCATGGGAAGTGAATGTCATTGGCTGCTAGTATTTGTTGCTCATCCCAGTTGCCTGTGAGAAGGTGGTGGTGAGCTGCCTTCTTGAACCACTGCAGTTTATTTGGTATAGATAGAAGCTTTAATGGGGAGGGGGTGGGGTGATCCAGAATATTGAACCTGTGACAATGAAGGAATGGCATTATCTTTCAAAGTCAGGATGGTGTGTGGCTTGGAGGAGAACGTGCAACTGTTGGTATTCCCATGCACGTGCAGCTCTTGTCCTTCTGGATAGAAATGGTTATGGTTTTGGAAGGTACTGAGGAAGGAGCCTTGGTGAATTTCTGTAGTATAAGTTATAGATAGTTCACGCCACTGTTACTGTCAGTGGTGGAGAGAATGAATTTTAGTGGATGTTGTGCGTATCAAATCCAGGCAAGTGGGAAGTATTCCATCATACTCCTGACTTGTGCCGTATAGATTACAGACAGGGAGCCAGGAGGTGAGTTATTCATTACAGGATTCCTAGTCTTTATATGTCCTTGTAGCCACTGTATTTATCAAAATCGTTCAGTTTTATTTCTGGTCATTGGTAACTCTTTGGATGTTGATGGTGGGGCATTCAAATGGTAACACCATTGAATGTTAAGAAGTTATATCGATTCTCTCTTTTTTGGAGATGGTCATTGCCTTGCCTTTGTGTGGCATGAATGTTACTTACCACATGTCAGCCTACTAAGATTTTGTTTAAGTTAAGGAATTTAAATGTATTGGGATGAATAAGAGTGTTTTTTAGTTTGTAGTTTTATAGTGGACTGAAAAACAATCCGTTGCCTGACTCCCCAGTTAAATGTTTACTCTACTTTGTAACAAAGGCAGTTTTATAACTTTTTTTTACTTTGCATTTAGGATTCAATGTTAACCATTTGGATATAGCACCAAGATATGCCAGTATTCTCATGGGAATTTCCAATGGTGTGGGAACACTATCTGGAATGGTCTGTCCAGTAATTGTGGGAGCAATGACAAAGAACAAGGTACAACTTTTGTTTAATCAGCAACTGTAGCACACTGGAGTAGAATTGAATGCAAAAAAGGATTGGAACACTACATCAACAAACTGATTGTTCTGTGCCCAGAAAGGGTTGGTAATATGATTCTGTATGATGGAGTCTTTGTCCATGGTGTGTTGATTCAGTTCTCATCTCCTGCACTTCAGCCAGTACAGTTTTATTCATTCATATGACCAGTCAAAGATACTATTCTAGGCTGGGCTTATTATTGCAAATTTAGCCAGTGCCTTCTTTTTGTTTACCAGGATGTGTGCCACACTGGATGAATTAAAAAGTACAGACCTTTGGTTGCAACTATTCTTGACATGTTATGCAAAACATTTTTAACATAGTATCAAGATAATTAGGATTATAAATGATGGAATCTCAGGCTAATTAATTAATTATCACTGTTGAGTATCACTGTCTGGGGCTATGCATTTTTAAAACAGAGTTATAGAGTCATATATCACAGAAACAGACCCTTCAGCCCCACCAATCCATGCAATATTGAGGAATATTTTCCAGAAAGACTATCTGATTAGACCTATTAATGTTCTACATATAAAATGCTTTGTATGCTTGGGATATTAATTTGTTACAGCATAAGTTAATGAAATATCATTACATAAAATCTATTTTGCCATAATCTGTGCTACTCAATCTTCTCCAGTCATTGCAGAAGGCTCTTACTTCATAGCAATTTACACAAATTGTGGCTCAAGTTTTGAACATCACTGAATCATTTGACAGTTTAGGGATTTACATTAGACTACTTGATATTCCTGTTAATTGTCCAATGTATGTAATATATAATGACACTGTCGGGGTAATGTCATTTTATATTCTTCCACAGTCTTCCAAACAGCCATCATACCACTGTGATGTAACAATTCCAATATCTACATTCAGCTTGGTCTGAAAGTCTTAAGTTGGGACATCTGTCCTGGTAGCTTCACAATTGTGCACAAGCAGCGCAATCGAACCACAAATTTAGATTTTTTTTGTTTTATTCATTCATATGGCGAGGCCACCATATATTGCTCAGGCAGCAGTTAAGAGTCAACCACAATGCTGTTGGTTTGGAGTCATATATAGACTGGACCAGGTAAGGATGGTGGATTTGCTTTCATAAGGGAATATATTGAACAAGGTGAGTTAGTATGACAATCAACGCTGGTTACATCGTTTTCATTAGTCTGGCTTTTTATTGAATTCAAGTATCACCATTTTCCATGATGGGATTCAAATCCATACTCCACCACATGACTGGGTGGTCTGCATTACTAGTCCAATGACAATACCACTACACCACTGTCTCCCCTTTGATGTAATTGAAGAGTATGATCTCTGTGCATGCTTCAGGGAAGGGGGTTAAGGGGAGAAGAGTATCATATAAAATTGGAGGTACAATACCAAGAGAGCAGTTGAGATTTTCAGCAGTGTGTAACACTCCAAGCCCACACTATTCAGGCAAATTGTGGATGTGCAAAATAGGTTTCACTATGCTTTTTGTTCACAGACACAGAGAGAGTGGCAGTATGTCTTTCTAATTGCGGCCTTGGTGCACTACGCAGGAGTCATTTTTTATGGCCTTTTTGCATCTGGTGAGAAACAGCCTTGGGCAGACCCCGAACAAACAAGCGATGAAAAATGTGGTTTTATACATGAAGATGAACTGGCAGAAGAAACTGGGGACATTACTCAGAATTATGGCACAACAAAGTCTTATGGGGCCACCACTTATAGCAACGGTGGTTGGCCAAATGGCTGGGAAAAAAAGGAAGAGTTTGTACAAGAGGAAGTTAAAGATTCCTACTACTATAAAGAACATGAAGAAGGGGACTATTCATAACAGGGAGAAAATTTAGAAAAAAAGAAATGTCTATTCAATATTTTGTAGTGTTTGTGTCCAAGATTCATTGTGATTGTTTGCACAGAATTGTGTGGTGTGAATGTCCACACATAAGAATGGCATTGTTAACAATGTACAACTTAACAAAGCAGCATTTGAGCGCAATCTGTACAAAATGGTGGTGTGCATCATCTCAATTCAGGCTTTACCATTTTAGAATGACTTGGGCTTTTTTTTGGCGGGGGGTGCTGGGGGGTTTCGGTTTCTGCTGGCTAACCCATAAACTGCCAGGAGATGTAACAGGAATTAGAATGTTTAAGTGCTGAATCATTCAGCAAGAGATGCTTTGGGTGGCTTACTGGGTCCTTAATCAAATAAAGGATAAATTCCAACACAGGTGCTCATAAGGAGGTTTAGGTTGTGAATCATTTTGTTAAATTTCAGATATTGAAGTTAATTTTAAAATGTTCCAGTGGATCTGAGCCAAAGTTTAATGCATATTAAATAGATATTCAGATATTTGGGGCACGAAGATCTCTCATACAGGTCATGGAAATTAAAACCCAATGCCCTGTGTACTTCCTAGAATATGCATTTTTCTTAAATGAATAATTTTATCGATAAAATCCCATCGAATCAATGCATTAGAGTCTTCATACATTTGATAGCCAAAATGCATGTATCATTATGTCCATCTTGGCTGTGTAGTAAGATTGCCTTCAATTTTCCAATAAGCCAACCAAACAGTTTGTATTTTACAAGTCTCGCCATTACTATGAAAAGAAGTATGCAAGAAAGATTTGCAATAGAACACACATAATAATAATTTAATGTGAATTATTGATATTCTAGATAAGTAAATAGCTTTTATAATTAAAAATAAACTTATTTAAGAGTTATCTGTATTTGAATACTGTTAGCACTCCAAAGAAAGAGATTATTTATGAACTACAAAGCAGTCAATGCTTTGCAAATTTTTAACTTATCGTAAAAATCTTGGACAGAAATTTATCTTAACCCCAGATGTAGGATTTGCATCAAATATTTGACTGACAAACCAGGAAAAGGAAGTTGGAGTGGCAATCCTCATCAATAACCAAAGGTGGCATGCCTCATCAGGTTTAGGTGTTGCATCACTCAATGTCCTTATCGGCTAAGACCATTTCCCCTCCATACTATTGGATTCACCAAGGACTGCAGCATTTGTGTAAAAAGCAATAAATACACATAATAACCTGCATCGTCTTGTATTCTTAAATGTGCTCCACTAATGTAGTTTGATATAGCTTTTGGTTGTAGGCAAGAATTATGTTGGACTCAGCTTGAGACACGCCGCACGCTAGATTGAAATCACTTTCCTCAGATGATCACAGTTCTGTTGATTATTGGTACAGTTCCCAAGTTGTGTCAACCATTTGCTGCTATACTGTGCATTTCAGATGGTGTAGGGGAAGGGGTTGTTTATATTTGCTGGCTATACTGTACTAGTGGATGGAGGCTGTTTTGGTGTCTGTTGTCCAGTATACAAGTCGAGAATGTCTTCTATTACTAAAGGGGGAAACCTACTTGACCTGAAGGTATTGCCCTTACTTTGTGCCTCAAAGTGCTGTGAAATGTGATCATGCCGTTGCTGTGTACTTTGGAACGATGTGGACTGTGTCACTTTTGTTGCTGCAAGAAGTGTTAATAAAAAGCTCTATCTATACTTTTATACAAAAGCTACGTTCTTCAAGCAAGAAGTTTAAAGATGTGCATTTCTACTTACAGCATGTCATCAACAATAGCAAAACAATAGCAGACAGTATTGGCCATTTTAAGAGTTGTAAGCTTGTTACAAGAGTTTTGGGCATAATTAGGATGCTTGTATCATTAGATCCTATCGAAAATGAAATATTCTTTCTAAGTTTTGCACACAAAAGTGATTCACAATCATTAGTCACATCTTCATACGTGTTTTTCTCTTCTGATAATAAGTCTTATTTTGAAGTTTTGTAGGATATACAAACAGTTTTTAAGAAAAGGACATTTTTGTCTCTTTTGAGTTCTTGCTCCATATGTTTGTGTATTTCTTTCACTTTTCATGACTTAGTTGGTTACACTGTTCAAATTGTATTTTCATTTGTTTGAACAGACCTGGTGTAAGAGAAGGTGCACAGTGAAAGCTGTCTCCTAATTTGGTCAGAGATAGTAGGAACTGCCGATGCTGGAGTCTGAGATAACAAGGTGTGGAGCTGGAGGAACACGGCAGGCCAGGCAGATTTCCTGATCCTCTGATGCTGCCTGGCCACCTAATTTGGTCTTTGCCTAAGAAGACTATAAGAACAGGAAGCATGATCTCAAGATATGAACATATTGTCAACGGTATTTCACTCATTTCAAGGAATTGTGATTAGTAATAAAAACACACGATACCTGTCCATTTATGTTTGAATACAAGGCTAGCAATAGGAACAACTGTGGAGATCAGTGCAAGGAAGGTATAGCTGAAATAGTTTTTTTTAATATATGTTCATTCATAGGATGTTGGCATCACTGGCTAGGCCAGCATTCGTTGTCCATCCTTAATTGCCCAGAAGGCAGTTAAGAGTCAACCATATTGCTGCGAGTCTGGAGTCACATGTAGGCCAGACCAGGTAAGGCTAACATATTTTCTTCCCTAAAGGACAATAGTGAACCAGATGGATTTTTCCCAGCAATCAATAATGGTTTCATAGTCATCATGGGAACTTTAATTCCAGATTCTTTAAAAAAAAATTGAGTTCAAATTTCACCATAGATGGACTTGAACCTCGGTTGAACTTGACCATTGATGCTGCTTGGCCTGCTGTGTTCATCCAGCTCTGCACCTTGTTGTCTTGAACTTGACCATTGCCTGGTTTACTGGATTAATAGTCTAGTAACAAAACCACAAGGCTGTCACCTCCCTAATACAATAAGATGTAGTGGCAATGAGGCCACATTACATTACATTCACCGCAAGCATACTGCTTTTCATTGTATTCTTTCTCTCTCTAATGAGGTTTGGAAGCAATTGATGATAAGATGTTTATTGATGCATTTGTGGGTTGATGTGACTTTACTAGGATCAGGTAACCGTCCCTGTGCATCATGTGGGGAATGGACAAGTTGAAAATCACCAAGGGGTATTGGTTGACCTATTGTTGCCATGTCCATGTAGTACAAGGGGCCATAAGATGAAGCAAAATAGGTAGCTGGGCTACATTAACTAGTCCAGCTGAACTCAGATCCTCAGATGTCATGTTAAAGCTGTGTGGTGTTCTGATCAGACTGCGCGCAGTGAATTGTGAACTGTTTAGATTTCTGCAACATGAAGGACTATTTATGTTATACGGTAAATGCAAAACGGAGCAATATAGCTGAGCCTTAATATCAGAGCCCAGAGTGATGTAGATTGACTTAAACTAGGGCTTCCGAGGCCTGAAAGGTGTATGTTAGGCACTTAACGAGATGCAGAATTTCAATATGAATGGTACTTCTGACCATACAAGGGCATAGATTCAGCATTGTGAAGGGCAGATGTAGATGAGATGTTAGGACTTTTTTTTAATAAACAATTAAAAATACTCCAGGAGGACCAAAGCTTTGAATTTATTAAGGAGCAACCAGATGCTGTAGCAGATTTATTTTATTAGACAGTTTTATTGATGATTAGGGAACCAAAGCAAGTTGATGGAATTAAGAAACAGATCAGCCATGAACTAATTGAACAAGCTTGAGAGGCATATCGACCTGCTGCTGTACCATTGTTTTTGAACATTTTAGGATTTGTATTCCAAAAAGTGTGGGCTCAAGACTTATCTTCAAATGAATTTGTCTTGTGCCTTTGAAAAATGTGAGTCCGAAATGTTAGCCAAAGGGAAATGACATTCTTCTGCCCTGACTTTTGTCTATGGGTCAGGGCATAGAGATGGGACATTTTCTATCCCTGCAAGCCCTGTCCTGTGGATATGTGCCCTAGAAGGACAGAATTTCATTACAGGTTATGGAAGTCCTTGGAAGACAAGTGGCTGGCCAAAGATGAGAATGGAGGTTGTTGGCTGTTGGTTGTTGGGAGAGGGTGGTGTAGTGGCTCAGTGGTTAGCACTGCTGCCTCAGAGCACCAGGGACCTGGTTTTGATTCCAGCCTTGGGTGACTGTGTGGATTTTGTACATTCTCCCTGTGTCTGCATGGGTTTCCTCCCACAGTTCTGAGATGAGCAGGTTAGGTGGATTAGCCATGGTAAATGCAGGGTAATAATGATTATGTGGGTCTGGGTGGGATGCTCTTCAGAGGGTCAGTGTGGACTCAATGGGCTGAATGACCCATTGTAGGAATTCTGTAATTCTATGACAAGGCCTTCTTTCCTGCTCTGGATTTAGTAAAAAGATAATGAAACAAAAAATAGCCCTTGCCTCTATCCTACCTCCACACATATTTCCCATGCTCGTCCATACCAATCCCATGCAAACCTTTTACAATTTACATAGATGATTTGGAGTTGGGGACTAAGTGTGGTGTGTCAAAATTTGCAGATGACAATAAGGTGAGTGGTAGAGCAAAGTGTGCAAAAGACACTGAAAATCTGCACTCTCCAATGCCCTCGATATAGCCCTCACATTCCCAGGCTAACCTTTGCCCCAAGGCCCCTTATATTCCTGGTACAAATCTAGTCCCCTCTACCCATTTCCATGGCTCATCATACCCCTTTTGTCAACATATGGTCCTAGACACATATCCCTGGCCAATTATGGCCCATATGCCAACTTAGTGTTACTGGATGCCAACAAATGCCCTGACTACTGCATTTCACCAATCAACAGGAAAACTCAGGTCAAATCTACATTAACATTTCAAACTTAACATGATTCTTCTGTTGTAATTTCAGAGCTCCACCATTTGGAGTATTTTGTTTTTATTAGCCTCAAACCACCAATGTACACCCTTGGGATCTCTGCTGACATGAAACCATTACTATTATACAAAAACACTCATTGATTAA